GTACAATTCAGAATTCATAGTTCCATCAATGATGGCAAGCCATCCTGGTCCAGAGGCAGCAGAAGAGGCCCAAGCCATGATGCTGCCACCATCATGTTTCACAGATGGGATAAGGTTCTTATGCTGGAGTGCATTGTTTACCTTTTGTCAAACATAACGCTTTTCATTCAAGCCCCAAAGTTCTATTTTGGCCTCATTTGTCCACACAGTATTCTTCCAGTACCCTTCTAGCTTATCTATGTGGTCTTTTGGAAACTGTAGATGTGCAGCAATGTTCTTTTAGGAGAGTAGTTGCTATCTCCTTGCAACCCTGCCATGCACACCACTGTTGTTCATTGTTCTCCTGATGATGGTCTCATGAACACTGACATTTGCCAATGCAAAAGAGGCTTTTAGTTCCTTAGATGTTATCCTGGGCTTCTTTGAAACCTCTCAGAGTATTACACACCTTGCTCTTGGTGTGATTTTGGTTGCTTGACCACTCGGGGTGGGGGTAACAGTGGTGTTGAATTGCTTCCATTTGTACGTGATCTGCTTGACAGTGAACTGGCAGAGTCCAAACACTTTGGAAATAGTTTTGTAACCCTTTCCAGCCTGATGAGCATCAACAACTGTTTTTCGGAAGTCCTCAGACATCTCCTTTGTTGGAGCCATGACATGCTTCCCCGTACCTGTGTTGTGAAAATCAGACTTTGATAGTGAATACCCAGAATTCTGCTCTTTAAATTAGGCAGGATCTCCCACACTCATACCTCATTATCATTTCACCTATTGATTGAAACACCTGACTCTAATTTCCCCTTCAAATGAACTGATAATCCTAGAGTTTTGCATACTTTTGCCACACATGAATATGTAGCTTTGGATCATTTTCCTCAATAAATCAGTGAACAAGTATAATGTTTTTCATTCATTTGTTTAATTGATTCTCTTTATCTAGTTTCAGGACTTGCATGGAGAACAAATCATGTTTTAGGTCATATTTATGGAGAAATACTGAAAATTCAGAAGGGTTCTCAAACTTTTAAGCACCACTATATATCCTTTTTAAAGTTTTGAGTTTTGCAAGTATGGGTTTGATTTCATACAGTGTTCTTTTTATCCCTGGTAAAAGCTCCCAAAAATTGCTTTATATCAGATGCAAAACAGATACCCTATTATCAATAAATCTCATGCTTTTACATTTGAAGTTTAATGAGCTAAGCTAATTACATCATGTCATACCTAACCAAGTAATCAGGAAACACATTTCTTTCCTGTTTTACAAGAGGTGGTGTGCTTAAAGTTCTGAATCTTAACAAGCTTATGTAATTGTACAAAGTCACAGCTCAGCAAGAAATATAATAATATTCCTATTTTTTCTGTGGTGTAAGCAATGTTACTAGTTTACATGTGTGTATGTGTGAATTCTCTTCTAGTAGAATAAATATATTTGAGATTTTGTCAAAAGTGATATATTGTTCAAAATAAATTCAACTACACACAGATGTTTCAGCTGAAGCTTTTTTATTTGCTTATTTTATTTTATTTTACAATAATAACAAAAAAGAAAAAACAAAAAAGGATAAAACACAAAGATGCATATATTATTAAAAAAACAATTACATAACAAGTGCTTAAAAATAAGTGGAAAAATACACAGAAAAAATAATAAAAAATATAAAGTATAATATGTCATTACAACAGTAAACAGTTGCAATTCTATATATTTATATATATGTATAATACAATTATATAACTATCATGCTTTTTCCTAACCTACTATATTTTGCTTAAATGAGTCCCATATTTCATTATACTTGTCCATACAAAGTCTACGTCTATAGTCAGTCTGCTTATAGGTGGCAAGTATAATCAGGTCTTCAATCCATTGAGTGAATGAGGCCATACGTTTATCTTTCCAGTGTTGCAGTACCAGTATTTTGGCTGTAGTAAGGGCACAGAGAATCCATTTGTGATGTCCAGTTGTCAATTTCCACATACCAGATATGTAATTTAAGAGAATATTATTCCCTGAGAATTTTAGCTTTTGTTGCATAGTCACATTTATATGCTCCACTACTTTCTCCCAAACTTAGTAAGTATAGGACATTGTAAAAACATATGTTTTAAAGAAGCATTGTCCTTGTTATATTTCCAACAAAATGCTATCTTAGTCCTTTTCTATCCAAATGTAATGGAATCCAATATATTCTAAATATTATTTTTTGTTATATAAGTCATAGTTTAAGGTCCATTGACACTCTTGCTACACACATTAAGATACTCTTCCATTGTCTAGACAATATATGAACCTCTAATTCTTTATTCCACTCGTCTCTTAGTATCTGCATTTAAAATTGATTTATCGATAACAATTTATCGATAACAACAATACAG